TGTAATCATAAGCCTTTCCGTTAAAAAATATTGTGCAAAATAGTTATACAAAACAGAAATTCTCTCTTATGTTGACAGTTTCTTTGCAGATAGTTTCATTTTTGAAAAGAGGCCATTTTTCAAAAAATGAAAACTTTCTGCAAAACCTTTTTCATATGTATGCAGTGTTATTCTAGCTGTGTTGCTCACAGGATATTAGACAGACAAGGTGGGTGAGGTAATTTTCTGTTACTGGACCAAATTCTATTGGTGAGAGAGACAAGCTTTTGAGCTTACGTTCAAAAGGTTGTCTCCCTCACCAACAGAAGTTGGTCCAATAAAAGATATTCCCTCACCCACCTTGTCCCTCAAACATGTTAGTAATTCAAGCCCAATCCAAAGCCTAATGAAGTCAATGGTGAGATCCCCATTATTGCTTAAACATTGTAAAAGATAAAATAATGAGCATATCTTTTAGAATGTAGATGGGACTGACACAACGCACCATTTAAGTCCATAAAATACTGTTCAAGTGGAATTGAAATATTGCATAGGCGTTGTGCTGATTCCATTCTCACAGGGTTGAATTCCAGCCTTAATGAAATTACTCTGTGGAAACTCAGCTCCCTCAGAGCACGTAATCTGTTCCTGTTTGTACAAAACGTGCTGTTTCTTTCCGTGTGCGAGGACAGCTTGCCTGCTGCTCTAATTGCTCATGTAAACTCTGATCCCTTACTGGGAGTAGCACAGATGCACTGAAGTCAATGGCGCTACACCAGTTTACAGCAGTGAAGGATCTGCCCTGCTGTTCAGGAATTGTTTTTGTAGAGAGCATATTCTGCTCAGCTTGTGCAGAAGCACTGTTGGGAAAGTAGCAAAACATCAATGCGGACTAAATTACTTTATTATTATTTGTACTAAAGTTGGTTTGCATGGGAGGCAGGAAATTTCCAAAATAATACATTGTCGTTAAGCAATACTATATTGAGATAGAAATTTACATTTAAAATATAAGGGACCTCTTGAGGTTGGATATTAGGAAACACTATTTCACTAGGAGGCTGGTGAAGTACTGGAATGCGTTACCTAGGGAGGTGGTGGAATCTCCTTCCTTAGAGGTTTTTAAGACCCGGCTTGACAAAGCCCTGGCTGGGATGATTTAGTTGGTGTTGGTCCTGCTTTGAGCAGGAGGTTGCACTAGATGACCTCCTGAGATCTCTTCCAATCTTAATATTCTATGATTCTATAATGGCATTATATAGGCACACAAACTAAAGAAACTTTGGTACTGTAATTTACCCATGGGTCAACTAGTTATTTTGCAAGAGTTACTATGTAAGATGTGATTTGAAGAGTAAACTGACTAGGACATGGGCATTGAGAAAATACTCCTGACAGCAAAGAACTGTTGAGTTCCAATCCCAGTTTTGACACTTCAGATGTGGTTCCCATTCAATGCCTTGAGATTCATATACCTAAAAACCACAGCTAAGATTTTCAGAGGTGACTAACAGAGCTGGTTGGAGAAACTTTGAGGGAACCATTTTCCACAGGAATATGCACTTCCATCAAAATCAAAATGCTTCATGAAATCAGATCAATTTCACTCACATTTCATTTAGGAAGGGAAAAGTTCTGGCAATGTCAAAACATCCCATACGGATATTATGCATTTCTTATGATATGTGAAACAATTTGCCATATGATGTATTTGCAAACCAGTTTAATTTCTATACACGTAAGAGTATATGGCTAAAGGAATGGACTGTCCGTGAGGAAAAGGCGGTATATTTCATAACCACAAGCACACTGTTGCTATTGACCTCCCATCTCCTAAGGTCTTGTAGTTAAAGCACTGAGACCGAAAAGATCAGGATTCACTTCCTGGTTCTGCCACAGCTTTCCTGAGTAACCATGCCAAGTCATGCAACCGCGCTGGGCTCCACATCTCCATCTGTAAAATGGGGATCATAATACTTCCCTTCTCCCACTCTTTGTCTTAGACTTATTTAGACTGCAAGCTCTTCAAAGCAGGACTGTCTCTCCCTATGTGTTTGTGCAGCACCTAGCACAATGGATCCTGATTGGGCACTGCCATAATACAAGAGTTTAATAAGGAGAGTTGTGAAGATAGGTTTTATGTCTAGGTAGATTAGTGCTATATGAATGCCAAGTACTGCTGTTATTCTCACGCTGCTTATCTTTATCTATTATATCTCATTAAACCAACAAACCCTTCAGCTAACTTATCTTTAAGCACAGGGCTTTATTTTCCAGCTTGTGGCAAGAGGATGAAACTCCGGATCTTTGTTTGGTGTCAAAAATGCTTTTGTATCTTGTGTGTTTTAAAAAACAACATCTTTCAAGAAAGTTATTTTCTTCCCTAGGCAAAATACATGGTCTGAGAGGATACGACCCCAGTGAGAAAATGAGCTATGTGATCTCTTAAATGATGGAATGCAACTATAAGCAAGCATTCAGTTCCAGTCCATCTCCTCCCACCACTTCCAGCTGTGGGGTATGAAGTGTATGCACAAGAAAAATAGGAAATACAAAGACAGGTAATAAATAATCAAAAGTGCTGTTAACTTGCTACATCGTAAAAAAAAAAGTAGTCTCACTGCCCCAACAGTTTATGGCTTTTATAGGTCTTGGGAAGGGCTTAATAAAAGCAGGGTGGGCCCTTAAATAACATTCCATGGGTTCTCAACTTGGGATGTCTATGGCCTGTGTTATGCAAGAGGTTAGACTAGATTATCAGAATGGTCCCTTGTGGCCCTTAAAATCTACAAATGTATGAATTAACAGGGTTCAGTCCTCCCTTTCTTTATGGCTAAATGGGAGGAGAGCCCAGTTTTTTAAATTCTATCGTAACGTGGAGGAAACAATATGGAAAAGTTCGTCAACCCAGAACTAGAATAGTATGTTTGGTGATCTGCCTCCCAGGCATTGCTTCCATCTGAAGCCTTGCCCCTAAGAACGGCCATACTGGGTCAGACCAAAGGTCCGTCTAGCCCAGTATCCTGTCTTCCGACAGCAGCCAATGCCAGGTGCCTCAGAGGGAATGAACAGAACAGGAAATCATCAAGGATCCATTCCCTGTCGCCCATTCTCAGCTTCTGGAAAACAGAGGCTAGGGATACCAACCCTGCCCGTCTTGGCTAATAGCCATTGATGGACCTGTTCTCCATGAACTTATCTAGTTCTTTTTTGAAACCTCTTCCAGATTTTACACAACCGTCTTCTTTTGTACGTCTCTCAGGTCTTCGTGTCCTTTCTCCCCAGGTATCTTCGATGAACCACAATGCCTCCTTTATATCCTATGCTTCTCTTGTTCCCGATCCTTATCCCATGCTGACTATATGCCTTTAATGCCCATCCTATGCCCAGTATAGCAAGCATTAAATGATCATATTTCACAATGTTAAAAATTTCAAAATGTTGAACATCTTGAAATAAAAAAAAATTGTCTACATTTTCCCCAAATCCACCCCCTCCAATTTTCAATCAACAGATCTGTTTGAAATGTTTCAAATTCAGACATTTTAAATTTTGTATTGTTGAAATTTTAAATATAGAAAAAAGGGACACAATTTTCGCAAATCTCATGAATTCTAATCAATACTTTTTTTTTTTTTTAAACCTAGCTCTCCTGATCAGTATTCATCGGAATTGCATCAGCTTTACTCATTATACTAATTATAATCCTGGGCTAAATTTGACCCATTAAATCAGATTCTGCTCTTATGCCTATGGAGTCTGAAGACCTTTAAGTTCAGGAGTAAGGTCCATGTCTTTTCTCAGGCTGTGGCAGGGGGATCCCATATTGACATTGGTGAACAAGTTATGCTTAATCTGATTGTTGTTCAGTATTCAGAGGCTATTGGCCAAAATTCTCATGTAACTACAAGGAAGCTGGCAAAAGTTAAAGTCACAGGGGCCAGTGCCATGAAAGCCAAAGGGAGAACATGGGTCAAATCCTGGATTTGTTGAAGCCAATGGGAATTTTGCCATCAGAGAAGTATTTTAGCCAGTGTCCCTACACGATTGGAACTTCTAGAAAAGAAGATAATAAAACACAAATGACGTGTACGTGAGGCCAGAATTTAGATCAAAGGACTGACACTTCTCTGATGATCAACCCCAGCTGAATAGCACAGTAAAAAGAAAAAGTCTCTGGGTCAATGAGACAGAGTTAGATGACGACCCAGGGGGACCAAAGAATGGTGCAAACAAGCCTTCATATAGCTAGTTGACTTTTGCCCTTGAAGCCGCTTGAAATCAATGTGATCTCACAGAGAAAGAGCATCTTTGACGAGTCTGAAATCTGTACAGTACAATATGTCACAGAGGGGATGGTGAAGTTTTGTCGCATATTTGCCAACCTGTTACAAAGATTATAATTCACTGGAAACTTCTTTCTCATCCCTAAAGGGTATGTCTACCCTGCACAGTTAACCTGGGCTCTTATCCGCAAAGATTATAATTCACTGGAAACTTCTTTCTCATCCCTAAAGGGTATGTCTACCCTGCACAGTTAACCTGGGCTCTTATCCGGGTTTTACCCTTAATCCCCCCTACTGTTCACAAAGAAAAACCTCTGACCTGGATTTGGAGGAAATATGTGGCAGTAGATATTACAGTGAGAATATTTTATAAATGCAATTAGATAGAGTAGGCTGCCTTTTATAGGACATGTAATATGGGTAAACTTCTAGATTGGTGGTTCTCAATAGGGGTACGTGTACCCCTGTGGGTACTCAGAGATCTTCCAGGGGATACATCAGCTCATCTAGATATTTGCTTAGTTTTACAACAGGCTACATAAAAAGCACTAACAAAGTCAGTACAAACTAAAATACAGATAATGACTTGTTTATACTGCTCTGTATACTATACACGGAAATGTAAGTCCAATATTTATATTCCAATTGATTTATTTTATAATTATATGGTAAAAATAAGAAAGTAAGCAATTTTCCAGTAAGTGTGTGCTGTGACACTTACATTTTTATGTCTGATTTTGTAAGCAAGTAGTTTTTAAGTGAGGTGAAACTTGGGGGTACGCAAGACAAATCAGACACCTGAAAGGGTTACAATAGTCTGGAAAGGTTGAGAGCCACTGCTCAGATTCTTCCCATATGGCTGTTAAAAGCTAAAAGTAGCAATGTCGGGATGAGCTGTTTGGGATTGCAATGTCCTCTTGCAGTGTTTCCAATTCAAACTGTGTAGTATTGTGATGGCACATGAGAGCTGGAAACCATGTGAAACTGACTAATCTAATTTCCTTGTACATGTTGCCTGGAACATTTAAAAGTTAGCACATATTGGAAAATAAAAAAGATTCAAACCATACTTTCCATTTTAAATGAGGTGATGTTAGAAATTTAAGTGAGGTTTTATAGAGAGAGTGCACATATGATTTGATGATATCTTTGACAATGTCCCTTTAACCGAAATACATATTATTGCTAAATAATGTAGATTGTTTGCTAGGTTTTGTTTCCACATCAGAATACAGTAGTCCCATGGGACCTGATTACTGGGAAGGATAGTAAGAACTTAGGTTTATAAAACATAATCATGTGGGAAATTTTTCCAAGGAAACGTTCCCACATTCAGTCAGACGACAACTATATATATATATTTGCTATTTGTCTTTAATTTTCCCAGTAACAATCCTGTTAATTGCATATGCAATTTGCTGCTATATACCTATTTGCCCATATTTAGTATAACTGAGAAAACAAAGAGGATGTTGTGCTTCTGTTCTAGGAGGTATGGAAGTTGTCTTAGCTATTAAGTAGAATCCCTGTGTATTTTCCTGCTGAGCTTAATTCAGAGAGTCAGGCTAAGATTGAGGCTATACACAAATCAAACAAAAGAGGGAGGACAAATTTATACCAGCTAGACTGACAGTCTAAATTGTTTCCGCTAAAGCTTAATTAGCACAGTTTATACATTCCACATATGTGCTCTCTAACCTCCCTATCTGCAGCCTTGTCAACTGTTATATATTTAATCCACTTACTTTTAGATTGCAGTGTGGTGCTGTGTAGCAATGTCTGTTGTATCTAAACAAAGAAAACTGATGGCAGGATATCTGGTTGAAATGTAAAATCGGCAAGATGAAATCATGGGTTTCAGAGGAGTTTCACTGTGTTTTAACTGGGATTTGGTCAGTTTTACCCACTCCAAATGTATAACCTGCATACCCCTCATTTCAGTCCCAAAGTTGCTTACATTGCCCACAAATTTGGGGTCCCTCTCAGTTTCATTGTTGAAAATTAGGAATCAGAAGTAAGGAATCCTGAAACTGGGGTTATAGAAAGAATTCTGCACACTATGGGGAAATTTTTAAAAGTAGTCAGGGGCAGATTTTCAGGTATGGGGTACAATTACAGGTATGGGACTAGCATGCAGCACATGCATTTGGAGATCAATTTTCAGAAGTGCTCAGCCGCCAGCCCGTGTTAAAGCAGCCCTGAGGCTGCTCTAAACTACCCCAGCATCAAGGAACCACCAAGAGCTCTTTGGCATCTCCTGCTGTACCCAGCACAGATGAGGCACAGCTTAGAATCTGCACCAAGGTCTCCACACATCCTGGTTTGAATGAAGCACTCATTGCGGGGGGTCTTCTAATTATATTACAATACCCCCCACCCCAAGTAAGCGGTTTGGGACTTCTCAGCATCATCTATACCATGGTAAGCTCTACCAACAACATTTTGTACTTCTATCAAAGATGTCATGAGGGGATGTCAAAGTACTTTACAACGGTTCATTATTTATGTCTCCTACAGCGCCTCTGTGGTTTCTCTGACTCGTCAGTTTTCACTATTCAATTACTAGCTTTGCCATAGACTCCCTGTGTGAGTTTGGGCAAGCCACTTCCCTTCTCTGGGCTTCAGTTTTCCATCTGTAAAATGGCATGTGATGGGGTGTTCACCCCACACCCACCACTAAAGGGGTTACACTGCCTAGGCTTCGCCTGGGGGAGGAGCCAAGAAGCAATGAGGACAAACTAAAGGATAAGCTCACCTGGGCAGGAAAAGCCAGGGCTCATTTAAAGCCAGGTAGCCAAGGGGATGCAGCGAGGAGGTTTTCAGCCACTCTCTCTGAGTCTAAGGAAGAAGGGGACTTTGGCCTGGAGGATGGTGGAGGTAACATAGGAAACAGCAGCAAGGCGTGGGACACTGCAGACCTTAGCTGCTGGTTGTAGGGTCCCTGGGCAGGAACACAGAGAAGATGGTGGGCCTGGGTTCCCCTATTAGCCCCTGGGAAAGTGGCACCATTGAGAGGCAGTGAATTGGAAGACTGCCTGGGACAGTGAGTGCAGAGAGATTTTAGAACACAAACCTCTGGAAGGGGGAAAACTCCAGTGAGGTGGCCGGAGGACCTAGCCATGAAGAGGGAGCAGTTGAGATTTGAGAGCGAGACAGTCTGAGCACCTGCAGGAAGAGGCATTGGACTGACAGAGCTAATCCCCAGCCATGGCCACAAGGAGGTGCTCCAGGGGTGAGTAGAGCACCCCGTGACATGGGGTAATAATATTACTTTTCCCTACCATTTGTCTATCTTGTCTATTTTGATTGTAAGCTCTGAGGTCATCAGCAGTCTCTCACTATGCATTTTGTACGTCGTCTAGCACAATGGAGCCCTGCTTTTGGTTGGGGCTTCTAGATGCTACCATCATAAAAATGAGTTTTGTTCTGAAATAGTCAGGGATTCATTCATTAAATCTGGCCACAATCCTACCAACAAAACCCTCAGAATTCAATATGCTGCTTACAGATCCATGAAGAAGTCATTTCCATTGCAAAATAGCACTCACAGCACCGCACTACATTTACCGCTGACTTCTAATCACTTTGAGTGATCAACATCTTTCGAGAGAGATCTTTAATTCTTCACTTAGCCAGATGGAAAGATATACATAATATGGCGCTGTTAAAAGTGTATGCCCCATTTATTCCCATTCTGTACCTATTTAATTCAAAGCTTAATTTATACAGCACTGAGCATGGTTATATTATTATGTCCATGATCTCCCTTCTGTGGGATTTTTAAACCAACCTAAAAGATTGCACAGTGGGGATACAATTCTCTATGAAGTTCTATTAAGTACGTTTTTAAAACAGACACTTATTCTATATTACATTTGATAGGATTTTAGACCAAGTTCTATGGAGACCTATTGGTCTCACACCATAAACCTACAGCACTTTTCCACGAGGAGCACCAAACAAAGGCATCAGAATTTCATAGCTGCACGCACCACCACTAGGCTCCAAGAAACCTGTCACTAATGTATTGTTCCCCTTAAGTGAAACAAAACCCGTCCATCTCTACTGCCATATGGCAGCATTTAATAACAGACAGGACTGGGACGTACCCAAAATAAGAGGCTTGACAGTTTGTGCAACTTTTTAAACCTCAGGTATTCTACTGAAAAGTTATTTTTGTTCTCTCGTGACAAGCATCTGTATTCATTTTTTCAATGCACCTCAGCTGCAGCATGCTCAAGTCATTTCTACTGAATCTCTGCAGAATGTGTTATACCATATGTAAAATGATTCCAGTTAACATCTGGTAAATGGTTTTAAACTTTGAATTTATTTTCACTTCTCATGAGATAGTGGAGAAAGGAAACATGATTCGGCTAACCATGATATGCAGGTGAAGAGACCATTATTATTTATTTATATTGGGGTAACTCCTAAGGCTCCAAATCATGGATCAGGACTCCATTGTGCTAGGCGCTGTACATACAACGAAGAGATGGATCCTGCCCTAAAGAGCTTACCCACTACTGAAATGCAACCACCTCTGGTGTGGAATATGGCAACAGTGCACATCAATACCACATGGGCTAAATTCTCAACTGGTGTAACTCTGTGTTTCTCCATTGACTTCAAGAAACATCAGTTTACACTTCTGGTTCCATATGCTTATGCTTAGAAGTGAAGAATACAGTACTCAGCTGAACCTGCAAGGGGGATTTAAGCAGAATGTTGTTTTAAATGGAATTTGGCCCAGACACTCAGATTTATAGTCGGGGCAGAGAGAAAAATATTGCTTTGGATATCTCCAGAGTTCCCTCCAGACAGCCTGGGTTAGAAAAATGGTGATGTCCTAGCAGGGGTGGTGAAGAGCCACCAAATAGAATTTCAGACAGCCACAGAAGTGTCTTAACGTTGCCTCACTGCTGCTCAACTTTGTTCTGCCTGGATACTGCGCAACATCACAATGTAGCATATTAGAACACAATGTGAAGCTGTTGAGGGGTAATACCTGTATCTCTCCTCCCACATTCCTCACTGCTTGAATGATCAGAGGTATCCCAGCAGTGACCCAATGCAATGGACAACCATGGGCCCTAATATGAGAACTTTTAACCCTGGTGAGCCATTTGTTCTATCAATCCCATAGGCATCCAGCCTGTCTTTGCACAGGATAGTTCTCCTCACCTGTCTGTGCAGCTCCAACCTCTGCACCACCTGTTTTCCCCCCCCAAAACCCCCTCTGGTCAGAATGATGCTCCTCAGCTACGCAGGCTTTTCCTAAGCCAATCAGCACAGCTGCCACTGCTAAATCATTCTTGTTCTATATTTATTAATTGCCAATGATATGCGCCAGCTGCTCCTGAGGATCCCCCTTGTCCTTGTTTGCCTGCCCATCTGAAATGGCCACCCCAGCAGCCCCGGGCCTCGAAGGCCTGTTGTCTGAGAATCCAGTTTCTACCATAACCTCAGGAAGGCTGTGGACTCTGTTAGAATAACTGTCCAGGGAGCCCAGATATGTGGCTCTAAAGCCACAAATTGCATGTCACAGATCTAGGCAACTCCCTTTCTGCACTGACCCCTCTTTGTCCTGCCAAACTCCAGCTGTTTATTTTTTGCCTTCTGCTTGGGCCAGGCTTATGCAGACTCAAATCCAGGCACATTCTAGAGCAAGAAGCTGGGAACTGAACCAATGCAAAGCTCCTAGCTACTCAACTAGCTCCAAACCACTCTCTGAGGTAGAAATAGAAACTCATTTGTACTGTTTGTCTGCGAATGAAAGTCCTTGTGATCTCATTTCAAATGATTCTTCTGGATGACACATCTCAAGAGCCCAGGCAGGTAAACCAAGGCCAAAAGTGCCCATCGGTCCCACATGTGTTTTCATTCCCACGCTAAAGAAAGCTCAGTCAGTTTCCTGATGCACTTTCTGCTTCTTCTCAGTGTGGCTGAAAATGAAATTAGTCACTTTACTCCATGGCAATATGTGATCTGATTACAATATTTCCTGGTGTTTACTTTAGCAAGCGAATCAGAGCAGCAGCCTAATCCGTTAGTGTCTCCACCAACATTATTCATGTCAGAGAAAAAAATTATTCCAGATGACTTTTTTTTAAATGGGTAAATATACATAGTGCACTCTACATGCTGTTCCAATCAGGTCAGAGCCACATGACCTTAATAGATAATATGGCTTTTCTGAGAGAGCCTGTTCCAGTTTTGTACTGGGAAAAATATCCGTGTTCAGTTGGTTAAACTTAATTTAAGTATATACTTAGTTCATTTCTGTTCAATAAAGCACTTAAGCATGTGCTTAGCCTTAACTTCCATATGCTTAAGTGCTTGCTTGAATAGGAGAGTTTTCTGCTGCAGTGATTTTGATGTTCTGGTTCCCTGGTCTTGGTTTGTCTTTTTTAACACGCCTCTAGCATTTGCACAAAAGGGTCTGTCTTGACCCATTCTAGTTCAATCCTACTTGATCCCATGATGGCCTTTTCTTAAACTAAACCAATATATTTGTACAGTAAACATCACAATAATCTGGTCACCCTGCAGTATTCACAAATTATTACAGAGCAGCTCCACTTGTCTCATACCTTACTCATGCTGAATACCAGCTTATTCCATAAGCAATCCTATTGCCTTTAGTAGAATGATCTGCAGGGGGGTAAGGTGGAGCTCTTGAGACCACAATGGCTGAACTGGAGGAGCTAAAGGAAACAGAAGTACATGGATGAGACAGGGACAGACTAGAGTGGTCCCACCCTCAGTCTGACAGCCTCTCTGCAGTTAAAGAGGATGAAGGTCTCGGTGGAAGGAGCACATTAAGCTGAGCAGAAGGAAGCATATGTCGCTAATGTAATGTAATGACTATTTTTTAAAAGACTCCAGAGGCAATCCTGCCAATTCCAGGCTGGTGAGCCTATCTTCAGTACCAGGCAAATTGTTTGAAGCTGTAGTGAAGAACAAACGTGATAACTATGATATGTTTTAGAAGAGTCAACACAGCTTTTCTAAAGGTAAATCATGCCTCGCCAATCTATTAGAAGTCCTTGTGGCACCTTAGAGACTAACGAATTTATTTGGGCATAAGCTTTCGTGGGCTAAAACCCACTTCATCAGTTTTCCACTCCATGTATCTGATGAAGTGGGTTTTAGCCCACGAAAGCTTATGCCCAAATAAATTC